AATAGGAAACGGATCAGAAACCTATTTCTCATTTCCTATTAAGACTTTTAAAATAGGAAACGGATCAGAAACCTATTTCTCATTTTCTATTTAGACTTTTAAAATAGGAAACGGATCAGAAACCCATTTCCTATTTTTTATTTTTATTTTAAAAATGGGAAATAGGTCAGAAACCCATTTCCTATTTGCAACGTCAAATGGGAAAACAAACTAACGGTATGTACCGTGATTGAAGACTTTGCATGTAAGGTCACCGCTGCGTATACTAGCCAGTACACAATCTGGCTACGTTAGTTGGTTAGCGTATGCGCAATATCTCACCAGAGAAGTTATAATTTGTGATGAATATGCATTTAAAATGGTTAGGGGGTGTCTCAGCATAGATTTCTCCAATAAACATTTATCTGCAGACCTGTGTTTATAATTAGGAGAGCGCCCTAGCATGTAGGGTATAAAACACCTACTTTATGCCCTCGCGTCCTTCCCCTTGCTTTCCCTGTCCCTCGCTCAGCCGCCTTCGTCTTCTACCGCCCCAGCTATCTTCCCTGCCGCCTTTCCTTAGTCTCCCATCCCCTCTCCCCCTTAGCTATAGCTATATTATGAAGTTTGCCTGAGACGGCACTGCACGCCTAACACGGTGCGCGCGCATACGCATTATCTCCCGAGAGAAATCGTATTTTGCAAGGATTATGCATTTAAAATAAAGAGGAGTTATCCTAGCATATATTTATATGATAACATTCCATCAGTAGACCTCATTTCAAAAAAAGTAAGCAGACCTTGCATGTAAGGTCCCCGCTGCATATATACCAGTCAGTATATAACCTGGCTACGTTACTGTTTTAGCGCATGCGCAATTTCTCACCACACGAGCTATATTTTGTGATGAAAATAGATTTAGTATGGTCAGCGGATATCTCAGCATTGGTTTCTGTAATACATTGTTATCCGTAGACCTGTGTTTATAATTAGGAGAGTGCCCTATACTGTAGGGTGCAAAACTCCTACTTCAACCCCGCCCGCCCTTTCCCTTGTCTTCGTTGTCATACGCTCAGCATCCTCCTTTTTCCACCGCCCGTCAGCTATCTTCCCTGTCGCCTTACTTTAGTCTCCCATCCCTCTCTCCTTCAGCACGCTATATTACGTACTTTCATTTAGTCCGTACTGCACGACTGAAACGGTGCTCGAGCATGCGCAATATCTTTCGAAAAGAATAATATTTTGCAAAAATTATAAATTTAAAATAAAGAGGGGTTATCCTATCATAGATTTATATGAGAAAATTTTATCAGTAGACCTCATTTCAAAAATAGGAAGCAGCCCTTGCATGTAAGGTCCCCGCTGCATATGCCAATCAGTACATAACCTGGCTACGTTACTGTTTTGGCGCACGCGCAATATCTTACCAGAGGAGTTATATTTTGTGAGGAAAATGCATTTAGTATAGTCAGGGGGTATCTCAGCAGAGATTTATGTGATAAAGTGTTATCAGTAGACCGGGCTGCCAGCACGTGTGCATGTTAAAATCCGATCTATAATATTCACTTTTCTCGCAGCATCACCCCTTGTGTTCCGCGATATGCCTATATTTATATATGGGGAATTGGGCCTCGGACGTCGGTCGCCGTTGACTACTGATATAATTTTCTTCGGCCGTTTTTATACGTTCAAACTGGAGCCGGGCGGTCTGCCAGCACGTTTGCATGGTAAAATTCTATCTATAATATTCACTTTTTTCGTAGCATCACGCTATTGGTTCCGCGTTATGCCTATATTTATATATGTGGAATTGGGCCTCGGACGTCGGTCGCCGTTGACTGCTGATATAATTTTCTTCGGCCGTTTTTATACAGCCACACCGGAGCCAGGCGGTCTGCCAGCACGTTTGCATGGTAAAATTCTATCTATAATATTCACTTTTTTCGTAGCATCACGCTATTGGTTCCGCGTTATGCCTATATTTATATATGTGGAATTGGGCCTCGGACGTCGGTCGCCGTTGACTACTGATATAATTTTCTTCGGCCGTTTTTATACGTTCAAACTGGAGCCGCGGGCGGGCTGCCAGGTCGTGTGCATGGTAAAATCAGATATATAATAAGCATGGTGAAATCAGATATAGGGTCTATAATATATAAATATATAGATACATAACGATAAGCAGATATAGGGCCTATATTCACTTTTCTCGCAGCATCACGCCCTGGGTTTCGCGTTATGCCTATATTAATATACGCGGAATTGGGCCTCGGACGTCGGTCGCCGTCGCCTGCTAGGATAATTTTTCTCGGCTGTTTTTATACGGTGAAACTGGAGCCGGGCGGGCTGGGCGGACTGCCAGCACGTGTGCATGGTAAAATCCGATCTATAACATTCACTTTTCTCGTAGCATCACGCTCTTGGTTCCGCGTTATGCCTATATTTATATGTGTAGAATTTGGCCTAATAATTTTTTAACTAATATTTAAAAGTTAATAACATATGTAACAGATTTTACCCAATCTGTAGATTGGTTGCCCAAACTGCGGATACGCTGATATCCCTAGTTTGTGTAAGATTCCAAGGTTCGGCACGACAAATGTTACAGAGTTACGAATGTTACAAATGTTACAGAGTTAGCCACACGTAAACGTAAATTACATTTCATGATTTGTAATGTTATTCTGTGCACACTCACTTAGACCGCTTCACTGTTATACTATATACTACTGATACTATATACTTTTGATCCGTAATGCTTATTTTATACCTACTTTTTCCTACTTTCTTACCGGTTTTGTATTTTTACGTAAAATTTCATAGAAATGTGTTTGGTTGTTTGCCAACAGATGGCTCTCATGTCGTATTTGCTTCAAATATGGCATCCGGAAGAGGTGGTTTTGGAAATGAAAAATCTGCGAACCCATTTTTCATGGACGATGATATTGATGATGAAACGTTTCTTGCCAAAAAGCCACCGACATCTGATTGGAATTCAGAAGGGTTCGACACGGACCATGAAATGCAACAGAAGTTACAGAAAATGCGCGAAATAGAGGAGCGAACTCTAAACAGCACCCATCGGTCTCTGCAAATGGTTGACGAATCGGAGAGAGTAGGCCTACATACAGCTGAGGTAAATTTGTGTGATAACACACCCTTTATTATCTTATAACAGCTAGGAATGTATATGAATGTGCATGCCTTTACACAGAGTGATTCAGAACATAGTCGCATGGTGTTGCTTGGTGTCGCATGGTGTTGCCTTAAAAAGTGTTAATAACTTTTTTAGGATCTTCTACATCAGAAGGAACAGCTAGAAAATGTGGATCGCAAATTAGACAAAATGAAGCAAGACACGCGCATATCGCAGCGACACATTACCTCTATAAAGAGCGTCTTCGGTGGTTTAAAAAATTACTTCAGTGGAAATAAGGACCCAAAGCCAGAGGCACCGCCAAAGCCAGAAAGCCAGAGCACCTCTGGTCTCAGGTAATATACATATCATATGTACAAGTCTCACCTGTTTCCATACCGATATGGCAGTGTTTAAGTACCATGTCAGTCTATTAATTAATCGGCATGAATTGTTCCTGTGCAGTTGTGGTGGGCAGAAGACTGTGTGTGATTCGCTATATTGTTGCCAGTAGAATTTTGCTTATTGTCCTGATTGCATATACTTGCAGGACGACTGTCGAGAGCAATCCACGATCATCTGAGCACCCAGCAATGAGGTTGCGTGGCCTGGATGATGCAGACGAGATGGCTTACCCCTCCCAGCAACAGAGGCCTGGTCGTTCGGCCATCGACGACGAAATTGATTCCAATTTAGGTAATTTTCAATCCTGTTGTCTCAGATTTATTTGCGAGCTGTGGCTGTATGGCATAGTGTGTTTGAAAATGAATTCATCCCATGAAGTCTGGGCTACTCACAGTTTGACCTGTAAGGTTCCATGGCTGAAGAAATGGCAACAAAAGATTTCATTCACATATATGTAGTGTTATGCGCCCATGTTTTCGTTGCAATTTTTAGCATGTGGGCATGAGCGTGTGTGTCTGTGTGTATTATGAATACCATTTGAGAACTTTTTTTGTACAATATTTCAAAATTTCTTGTTTGAAATCTGCTTTAACAAATGCATAGGTCTTGCACTGGTTTTCGTTCTCATTGTGTCTCAGAGAAGTTCAGGGATTGTTATAAATTCTGCTCCGCAGACGATCAAAACTGTGACCGTGAAATAAGGGATTGTCAAGCGTTCACCATACAAGCTTGACTGTATGTTCACGTATATTGATGCTGTCTTCCTCCTCTCCTGTAGGTGAGATGTCGGAGGGCATGCTCAGGCTGCGCGGTCTCGCGCTTGGCATGCAGGACGAGATTGACGATCAGAATGAGATGCTCGACAAGATCACTAACAAGACGGAAAGCGCCGACATGGAGGTGGCGCGGCAGAACCGCCAGATGAAGAAAATCCTGCACAAATGATTGGATCGATTTGTTGCGGTGTCCGGTGAGAGTCGGCTAGAGTTTGCGTGCGGCGCACGTGAGCGCGTCAGGATCCGCTTTGTCCATTCTAATTTCTTGTGTATCAATTTTGCTTTTTTGTTGACGTGTGAGGAGGGAAAATGTGAAATCGCGTCGGGTTGTCAATTCAGCTAATGGAACCGATTCGTTTCCGAGATTTCTTTGGTAGCGAATATGGGAAACTAACTTATGTGCTTGTTGTTGTTATTCTGTTCCCTCTATTTTGTTTTCGTTAAATCACTACGAAGTTTATGTATGTTTAGCTAACTTTGTTGTCCCTGAAGTTTAAATTACCGGTGAATGTAAAAACATTCCTTATTACTGCACGGCCATTGCTATGCTAATTGGTTTGTTTACAATCGTGAATGCAATTACCTTAACCTGTTCTTTCCTCTGTCATATAACTGACTATAATGGTTGTAAATTTGTTCTGTTCAGCACAAATCTTCAGGAGCCCGATTACATTCTACACTCGACTGAACCCATTGCAGTGTGAGTTTTCAGAATGCACCAAGAGCGAATAATACCTTAATCTTAATCTTGTTAAAATCATGATTGTACTGATGTCCATTAAAGTGTACTGTATGATTTTTTGCCAGTTTTTAACATGGTCAGATCTTTCATGAAGCGATGGATGTTCTTACTAAGACAGTAGACCAGGTAACAATGCTACAAACTTACTGAATCACTCAAGGGGGCAAATGCGACACCATATTAATAGCAGCATATCTAGGAACCTAGTATAAATAATGTCATGGTGTAACCCCTGGGTGTAACTGTATTATAATGGGTTCCTGTAAGCTCTATAATTACCAAATATATGTAAGTATTGGTAACTCATCTTGCCTATCCACTATGACATGAATCGTTCATAGCTGGTACATCAAGGTTGATACCAGGGAATAAATAAGTGCTGGTAACTCGGTGTGATGTTTTGCAGCTGTTGTAAATACGACCTGATATATCCTTATATGATGATCAGTGTTTTAAATGTAGGTGTTATATGTTTGTTATATTATTGTGATATTAAGATGCAAACAATGTACAGTTGACAAATACACTGTGTGATTTGGTGATTACAATAATGAACATATGACTGTTTGTATATCAACAATAAAATATAGTGAAATTTGATGAACATAAATAATACTGTATTATAATACTTTCTGTGGAATTAGTAACTTGTTTGTATAAATATAATTAGAATTCTACATATGTTCGTTTCAGGTTATTCAAAACAACTAGAAAGTGCATACAATATAATCAATTTGATAGTAGAAAGTTAATAGAAGCTGAGTGGCAGCAGTGTTATGTTGTCTAAATAATGACTAATAATAATAAATCTGGGTTTACTGGGAAATAGCAGATTAATCGAGTTACTGCGTCAAATAATAATTATGTATTGTGGTTGTACGTTAAGCATTTGGTCGTATATATCCTCAATAACACGCTCAAACAGAGATCTTATCATGTGCTTACATGCAGTGCGTATACAGAACTTCTGGAATACTTTACCTATTACGCATGCGATATTGCAATATAGGTCTTTCTGTTCGCAATCTGCTAGATTGCGATGTAGATATTATAGGAACTATACGTAGTGACTAAAGTGAGTATATGCTCTATTATTCAAATATATAATTTGTAGTACTGTACATGATCTTTCTTTTATGCTGAGTAATACTGCTCATGTATGAACACGAATCCAACACACACAGACACACACACACACACACACACACACACACACACACACACACACACACACACACATATATATATATTATTATGTATATAATAAATAATAATAACAATAATATGCGCTGCAACATTGGAAAGTCATCGCCGGGGCCTTTTAAAATTATGAAAGTGCAAGTGTTAGTGAAAAAAAATTTTAATTGAAATGAAACACAACTTATTATGCCTAATTGACTTATGATGCCAATGCCCAATTAATTTGGGAAATAAAATTATATTATTATGAAAATAAACGACGCTGAAAGTTATAAACCTTAACGGAGACAATAGATGGCGCTATCTTCGTTACTGCTCGTGGGGAAAACCGGGGGCAAGGAAAGTGTCTTTTGAATGCATACCTCAGCAATGGCAGAAGGAGGTAGGGATGACAATGAGCATCCTTTCGCAGACGTAAGCTCTATCACAATACTAAGTTCTTGTACTCGTGTTGCGCGGAGGTACTGTAAGCCGTCGTCGTTGAAGCCCCTTTTTGGCGTTAGGGTTAGGGTAAGGATTAAGGGTTAGGTTTAGGGTTGGTAAGGGTTAAACGCCAGGCTCTCCGACTAGTTACACGGCGAGGAACCTCTCGCCACGTATGTTAAGCGAGATGGGAACTTGTGCTAGGTTAGGGTTAGGTTCTATCTCATCTAACTCTCAAATCGTGAATATATTTTCCAAGGCGTTATTTTCGAAATCTGGCGCCACCGCCGCCATCTTTGCTCGTTAAGTAGAAAGCGAATTGGATCCCGCTAGCGTGATTTTTTTCCTAGGTCAATCTAACCTGTATGATACAGGCGCGTATGTTTCGCTTCACTCACATGTAGCGGTGTAGTGTAGTGAGGCGGAACCGAACCGCCTGTATCATACAGGTTAAGGTCAATCACAAACTGCACTGCAGCGTGCCCCTTCCCACACTCAGGATAATACCACTGCCACAATGCTAGCACTATTTTTAAAGTGGCGGAGCTCCGGGGAAATCCAGCAAATGGCAATCCAACGGCCGCAAGTCCGCGCCGAACAAAACATTAGAAATTTCTATGATTTGCATGTTTGTTGTGGACAAATTTGATGTTTTAAGCTGAATACGCCAAAATGTATCAAAGACAATGTTCGAGAATTAGGTATATTGGCAATCACCCCAAAATTCATGATAAATACGTGAACTTAGTTTAGTAAACAGCGTAATGATTTGAAAGTAGTAAATGGCGCACTATTTCGTATCACTATTTTATCAAATTTCTCATAAAATAATGGTCGGATTTTTAATATATTTGCAGCTTTTATAAGTACCCACCGTATTACATAGGGCAGGAGTAACGGTGTCGTTGTAAAACTTATAGTAAAAAAGCGTAAGAAATTCTTACGGAAATCAGCTTGTGGCAGTGGTAGAATTGAGCCAGAGCGAGAGCGCCATCTGTCGTGGAGTTTGGGTCAATCAAGAACATAGGGCTCTAACGAGCGCTGCCATTGGTTGATACAAATCACGTGCCTCAAACTCCTGTTTTATGGTGCATTCACTGCATTGTGACCCTAACCCTAACCCTAACCCTAACCCTAATCCTAACTCTAACCCAAACCCTATTAAAAAAAATATAAAAAATATAATTTTTAATTGTTGTAAAAATTAATTGTTGTTATTAAAATGGTGTAAATAAATCATGTAAATATTTGCGTTAATTGGAAAAAAAATGTTAAACAGATAAAGATAGAAAAATACAGAAAACAGAAAAATAATTAGAAAACGGATGGGATTCGATCCTTTGACCTTTCATACTTGACGACCGCGTTGTACGCGCTAGGCTATCGAGTCATATCAAAAGTAAGAATTTTGGATGTGCTATGTATATTACGACATTGTGACGTCATTGAGCGACAAAACAAGCTCAACCAATAGCAGCGCTCATTACAGCCCTATGTTCTTGATTCACCTAGGAAAAAAAATCACGCCTCCCGTACCCGTAGCCTCGAGACATTAAGATACGGCTACCGTACCCGTAGCCACTGCCTTTAAAAAATCGCCGAAATGAATGTCGATTGTCGAGTGACTTGCCATTGGCATTGCATTTGATTTGCATTACATGATTACTAATCACAGAGTGTTGCTAATATTAATAACAGGAGTGAATAAAACATGGTTTTGTTTGTTTTGCTTCACTCCTACTCGTATTAACAATGCTAGATAGCTGGGCCGTGATGCTTCTTACTTTATTTCTTCGTAAGTGTGTGTTTGTTACCTCCAACCTGAGTCCAACCATATATCTATGGTCCAACTTCCAATAACGGTACCAACTGTCTCAGTGTCTGCAATTTTGATTTTTCAATTTTATGAACGTTACCTGTTCGGCTATTTTGTTCATTACATGGTCTAATGCAACATGAAGACTATTATTTTTTGTTGGCCGTGTGGGTAGCACGTACATGTCATTAGAAATTTAGTGTGTTAATTTTGTAGAATTAATCAGGAAGTTTTCTATGGCCCTAATGTTGGATCTATCCTACCTGAAGTCAAGTTTAGCCTCCCTATACACACGTGATGTGATTAGGATTAGGTTAGCACGGTTCTACCCGGGCCTTTAAATGCATTTTAAATCCAACATACCTTCATTGGCTTCAAAGCTAATTTGCAAGTTCATCGATTGCCTTCTTTGACTGATCGACATGCTTTAATTTCCAGCTATGTTTTACTTTCGAAAATCCCAACACAGTTATTCTGTGTTTTCACAGCTTTGATGTGTACGTCTCTTAACTTATCGCATTTACCTGTGTATTGTGGCCGCTCACAGCACGCATAGTTGTTTCCAATCGCTATAATCCCCTTACGGACCCTCCCTCCCCTGTACATCCATAAACGATATACCTTCTGAAATTCCTGGGGGAACTCTGGTTAGGGGTATGGATATTATTTAAAATGATTATATCGATAATAACTGAACATTTATACGGGGGGTTGTATTTGTAAAGTAGGAATATGGCGGAGCCCCAAGAGTTTAGATGTAATGTTGAGTTAGTAGGACATCCATTCTTTCTTTAAGTAATCCCTCTAAATTATCACTTTATAATGTTCCTGTAAAAGTCCATGTACACATGTCATTTTTGCAATTTTTTTTTTTAAAGTCACCAAACTTCATGTTATGTAAATATATATGGTTCAAGTCATGCACATTTATTGTTGATAGCAACAGTACAAAGTTCTTCGATTTTAGCATATCTGCGGGTTAATATCCGTAATGGACTGGTTCTCTTTATTCTACGTATTGCAAAAATGGGGTAAGTAGCTGTAATTGACTATCAACCACAAAAGCTTAGCTACATTTAAAAGTCATCTACTGTTGTGTACAGAATGAGAAAGAACGCTTCGGTTGCTGCTTGATCTTTATTGCATCTGTCATTACGCATACAGCGATGCTACGCATATGGTGAATCTAAAACATTACCACACTGAGACTTGCGCATACAATAGCAGCTCTGTAATTACACCACTACAAATAATGGTTAAACACTAATAGAAATACATATTGGCCCATTCGGCATATAACTGTAGAAAACAAACCAGCAAACTTACGAACTGTGCACCCGCTGTCACGACTGTGACTCGACAGCGAACGACCACCGTTGGCCTATACAAATAAAATTACACAATATAATTTAAATCCAATTTGTACTTGAATAGCTTACAAATTATAGGTAACACCTAAATTATACACTCATGTAAATAGTCACAAACATCTTAATTTATGGCCTAAATTCCTACCAAAGCTCAACACTTAGAATCCTAATGACAGAATGGGCCCAAACAAAGGCTGTAAACTACCAGCATCAAACCCCCTTAACTCACACATCATCCACTATTTAACACGCATGCAGATTCCTACATATCCTATAACACCTTAGAAACGATTTTAACACTACATTGGAGCATAATATTTGCTTTAAACACACAAGAACGGGAAATTTACCATCAACGATAAATGCACATGTTTCTTCTCTCCTGCAATCTTGCTATCTTCCACATCGACTAACACCTAATCCACCAGGTGGCATCACCGACCAGTCCTGGCTAGGAATCCCCATAGGTGGAGCCACTATCATAAGCTGCTCGGTACAGGTCAAATTAACATTTAGATTGCTAAACTATTAGATATTCCAACTATTATTATCGGCAGGCCAAACTGGCGGTAACACACCCCCTCCTTGAATTTACCTAGATTCAACCTAACGTCACATCACTGATCATCAGCCAGAGCACCTTCCAATGGCACCAGCTTGGTGATTGGCCTCCACAAATGAGTGGACTTCGTTCTGAGTCGAACGCTCCGAACCAAGTCATCTGCGCCACGTTTCACTTCCACAACTAACCCTAGGGGCCATGCTCCTCGAGGTGCATCTTCCTCTTTGATCAGCACGATATCACCCACTCGAAGATTCAGCTTCTCTTGCTGCCATCTTGGGCGCCCCTGCAGTTGCGGGAGGTACTCTAGGAGCCACCTCTTCCAAAACAGATCGGCAAGGCACTGGGAGTACAGCCAACGCTTCCGATACATGTCCCGTGAGAAGAACGTACCCCAAGACAATGACGTGTTGTTGTGCAGCAGCAGCAAGTGATTGGGCGTGAGGGGTTTATCGTTATTTGGGTCCTCACTACACTTAGTGATAGGCCGGCTGTTTACCAGATTCTCAGCATCACACATAACTGTGCACAGCACATCATCAGTCAATCTGGCATTCCGGTCCAGAATTGCGCACAATACCCGGCGAACTGTGCGTATCATCCTCTCCCATATGCCTCCATGATGGGACGCGAGTGGCGTATTAAACTTCCACTCAACTCCACGCCTGCGAGCCGATCGAATGATGTGCCCCTGGTTTAATTGACGCAAGCTACGGGACAATCCACTCGCGCCTCGTTCCATCAGCGCTGCGATCTCGCACGTTGC